ATATGTCTTCGGTTCACTAAAATTACGGTTACGTGTTCAAAAAAACTCACGATACTGCGTAGTCTTCTTTCACGTGTCAAGAAATTACCTTCTTTCAATAATGACATACTCTGTATGTCTTCTTTCACTCAAAATTATTCTTTCATTTTAGACAAGCGAAAATCAGACCTCAAAATTACTTGGGAGATTCATCTGGGGTGTGTGCATTAGTAATTCATAATTCATTCCTTTTTTATGATGCTGGCAGTAGTACACAATTTGTTTATCCATTTACCTGCTGTTGGATTTGTGGCTATTCCAGATTTTGTGCTGTATGTGTGCTCTGCTAGGATTACAGGCGTGAGCCACCGCGCCCGGCCTAATTTTTGTATTTTTAGTAGAAATGGGGTTTCACCATGTTGGCCAGTCTGATCTTGAACTCCTGGCCTCAAGTTATCCACCAGCCTCGGCCTCCCGAAGTGTTGGGATTACAGGCATGAGCCACGGCACCCAGCCTTTTGTTTTTATGTATTTCATTAAATGAATTGTCCTTTTAGTGGCATATCAGGTGATCTTGCCTTCTGGTACTCTTGAAAAATATGAAAAGAAACAAATGAAGTAGGCATCTCCTGTAATTAGTATGTAGCATTTTATTCTTAGAAAATGTGTGGTACCCTGGCCCTGGATTTTACCTTTTTGCAAAGTGGTATCTGAATAAAATGAACACTAGATTCCCACTTGGAGTGGAAGAACATTGCAATTGAGGCCATGGATAAGTTTTAACTGCCACACCCCTGTACTCCTGGACTTTCTAATGAATTAGACGACGTTTTATTTTTGTTTTTGCATAACATTTTGAAGTCTGCTATCACAAGTTGTGAACCAGTATCTCTTGCAGTTTAGGTAAAAGGCAGAACATTTAATGACTTCACATTTAAGTGAATTCCTCACAGGGATGATGACCTCTGCTGAAACAGGCCAGGATGTGCAGTTTGTGGTGACAGTTCTACTTGACTTTGACCTAGCTGTCTGAAGCTGAGAGCTCATAGATAATGAGTGCTGCATTGGTTGCAAATGAATAAACAAATAACATTATGGGGTTTTAAATGACCAAGGAGTAGATTGTGACATCGACTGGGTATTTAGGGAAGGACTCCTTCCTGATACCAAAAGTTAGGTCTGTGCAAAGTATACCAAGTGAAAAAAAAGTTCAGACAAGAGTTTAGGTTTCAACATAAATGTTGTTCATTTGATTATGAATCAACTGTGAAGTAAATAATTGAACAAGAAGCACTATCTACTATCTACTGTTGGCACTGGTTTTAAGTCTTTTGTGCTACTTTTTAGGCATTGCTGTGTTAAGTTTTGGTGGCGCGTGGGTACAGTGAAGCCAGGAGGGATAAAAAGGGAAATGACGCGTGTGCTACATGCTAAGTAGGAGCTCTTCCTTATGCCTCCTAACCACCTGTGTGACAGTTTCACATTTCCTATCAAATGACCTTCATTCATTTCTACTTGCGAATGAAGTTTGGAGACTAAGAAAAAGCCAGCTGTTGGAAGAGAAAGCACTTTAGGATAAAATGGTCTTGTTAAAATCACCCATTAATAAGTTCAGCCCCTGATGTACAAATAACCAAAACACATACATACAAAGATAGTGCTTCTTGTTCAATGATTTACTTCACAGTTGATTCATAATCAAATGAACAAGAATCTGCAAGAATAGAACATGGAGGGCAGGCTCCAGGAATTCCAAATGTCATCCTAGCTCTTCCTGAAGCATATTGAATCCTCCAAGTATACCCCGTTGTGCTAACTAGGCTTTAAGTCTTTTGTCTGTAGATTCATTCTCAAAGTTTCTCCCTCAGAACAAAGAGCATGCCATCCTCTAAACTACTCTGATTTTTTCCACCAAATTTCTTGGTTTCTTTCACTTGCTTTTCAGACCCCTGCAGCCAGATTCTGCCCTCATCTTTCCAATGACACTCTTGTGGCAGATCATACTAAAGACCAATTTGTAGACCTGTCCACGTGGCCAATTTGTAGACCTGTCCACGTGGCCTCTCTCAAACTCAACGCCATGGATGTGACGTTCATACTGCCTCTCTGACCACTTAACATTGTCCCTTAGATGTCAAAGGTCCTTATATTAATAGTTTTATTTTTAGCTCCTTTACATTTTACATTTTGTCCTGAGTCATCTCAGCTACATGCGTGGTCTTAAATATATGCTGATAATTCTCATTCACGTAGCTCTCCTGCTGGCTTTTCCCCACTCGTTTAAGAACAACTTCACTTTGCTGGACTCCACCTTGAGTGTCTCATTTTCCGCTCACGCTCATGTTGTGCCTTTACTTAGATTTGTTGTGGTTGTTTCCCCACAATCTGGAAAGCTCCTTACCTAAATCCTATTTATTCCTTAATGCTTAGCACAATGTATTACTCTTGTTTGCATGGCACATTGTACTTCTGTTTTAGAGACTACCTTCCTCTGAAGCATATGGCAGGTTCATTTACTATCCAGCCCACCACAACTCAGTTTTTGAGCTCCTCTGTGTTCATCTTTTTATGGCTAACCCTCACCGTCATGAGTGCTTAGTAAATGTTGAGTTTGAATGAATTTATTCCTACAGGTTGCACTTGTTCTCTCGCCAAGTTTTCTGGCCAAATAATTCTGGAATGATTTCCTTACCTTAAGGGAGTCTGATCTGGGAAGAGCCTGGGACGTGATGTAACTTCATATGCTGTAGAGCTGAATATTCATTTACTTAAGATCTTAGCTCCGTTAGAAAGCAGTGTTGATTCAGAGGCCGGGCACGGTGGCTCACACCTGTAATCCCAGCACTTTGGGAGGCCGAGACGGGCAGATCACTTAAGGTCAGGAGTTCGAGACCAGCCTGGCCAACATGGCAAAGCCCCATCTCTACTAAAAATACAAAAATTAGCCAGGTGTGGTGGTGCGTGCCTGTAATCCCAGCTACTCGGGAGGGCAAGGCAGGCGGAGGTTACAGTGAGCCAAGATCACACCACTGTACTCCAGCCTGGCCAACAGAGTTAAACTGTGTCTCAAAAAAAACAAAACAAAACAAAACAAAAAGCAGTGTTGATTTAGAGCTAAGGTCACCTGATGCTCAGGCCAGTAATATTTCTCCCTGCACCATGCTCTTGTCCACAGCAGACACTGTAATGCTCTACACTGGTGAAAAACTAAGCTTGAGATGCATAAAAGAACACATAGAGATGGGAGGTCAGTTCTCCATACATTTTGTGAGTAGAGGCGTTGGTGTTTTGTTCCAAACTGTCCAATCGAGAATGTCCCTACAATGACCACTTTGGAAGATGGAGACTGTCTTCCTCTGGAGCATAGGACGGGTTTGTTTACTATCCAATACATTTAAAAAAGTGTTTCCCTCTGAGGCAAAACTCAGGCCAGTTTGCTTGTGGCCTCATTAGATGTGGGCTGTGGCGCAAACCCACTGCATGTGCAGTGTCTACCTAGATCACTCCGTGTCGCTCCCATGGGATCTGGGGCTCAAGCTCATGTTGCATGCTGTGTTCTAAATAATTAAGTCTATTGTCTGACCCAGGAGTCTCATGTCTTCTGCCAGCGTTCAGGAAACCGAGTTTTCAAGAAGGGCAAAATCTTAGGCCTTTTACAGCTGACACAGAGCAATATTGAGAAATAAAATCAGGTAAAAGTTATTTAATACAGCAGTTCATAATTTAGGCCACGGATCATCTCTGCGGAGAACCCTACCATGCTGCATTCTTGCTTTAAACCTTTCACCCTCTAAAACGATGCCCAAGAGCCAATGTTAGTCATGTCTTCCTGTATTTGCTCTAGGTAAGCTGTTTCAAAGCCTTCCAGGACAACTTTTGCACAGTCACGTTTATCTTTAAGCACCAACAAAAGAAATGGAGAAATTTGAGCCGTGTGTCCTGGGCTCTGAAAGGCAGCAATCATCTTAGCCCCTAGCATACGCCATGTTCAGCTTCCTCGCCTTGGCCAGGTACCACAGCTACTTCTACCCCAGTGATCAGCAGGCCCTCCAGCATGAAGACCTTTGAGAAGGACCTAAGACTACTATAGCTCTCAGCTCCTAATATGATTTGTACACTATCACCTTGAAGTAAATCAGACTAGTTATTTTCATGCTAAGAGTTTGAAAACAGTGCCTTCTTTTTGATGCCTCTTGTAGGGTATTGGCAGAGGGATCTCAATTTTTACTTTATACCTGAAGGGCAGCTTTTTGGTCTGATAATTATAGTGTAATCATTCATATTTTAAATCACAAATACCCCCACCTCTTGATGAAAACTTCAGTCTGTGGCATGAGTGTACATTCACTGCCTAAACCACCTTTGGCCAAAATTTATGTGTATATGAAGTCATTCTACTTTAGCACACTCAAAGGAATTCCTTTAAACCATTTATCTGCTTGTACACAATAGCCAAAGGAATAGTCCTTTCTATAGCTGATGTAATAAACTATCACAAATTTAGTGGCTGAAAAAAAGTTATTCTCTTACACTTTTGGAGTCCAAATTCATGGGGCCAAATGAAGGTGTTGGTAGAGCTGTGCTCTGCTCTAGGCCAGGATCCGTTTCTTGCCTTTTCCAGTTTCTGGTAGTTGCCAACATTATTTGGCTTGTGGCCACATCACTCTAGGCTCTGCCTCTGTGGCAACACTGCCACTTCCTCTTCTGTCTGAAACCTTCCTCTTACGTAGACACTCGTGACTGCATTTTAAGGTCACCAGATCATGCAAGATAATCTCCCCTTCTCAAGACCCTTCATCACATCTGCAAAGCCCATTTTTTGCCAACTAAAGTAACATTCACACGTTGCAGGGATAAGGATGTGGCTATCTTTTGGGGAATCATTACTCATCCAATCAGCGTGGTAAAGCTTGCAAGTAAATTAAAATTTTGTTACTTTGTTCACAAATCAATTTAGCAGAAGATGGGAATAGGACTAATTATAACCCGTATCCCCACAACTCCTCCTAAGTTATTTCCTTATAAATACAAATCCCATACAGGACAGTCTTGGGTAATTATTATTCTATACTCAGAAGTTTCCTGGTTTGGTTAGATTATATTGTCCTCCTGTTTATAGTCTTACGATAACAATTAGTTGACTTCTACAGGTCCAAACTGCTATTTAAACTGTAATTTGAGTTCCCAGAGGGCAGAAAGTTCTGTTTGAATTGTTTTACAGCCAAAGTTGCTTTTTATTGTTTTGGGATGTATTCTTTACTTACACCACAATTTTCAAGGATGATTATTTCAGGTATGCTTTCTGAGACTCCACGTGGTTGACAACTACGATCAATCCCACTGGTGAAACCAGATTCGAAATAAACTTATCCGCAGGGTCCATGTCTGATTGGCAACCTTCCAGGCTGCTGTGCATGTATGGGTAAGGTAGAGGCAAAGAATGAAGTAAGTTGGCTCTACCAGCTCCCTGTGGAGCCTTGTTTCACAGTAGGAGAGGTGGAAGCTCTCGAGAAACTCCACCATTCATACCAACAAACTTATTTTGCTTCATATACTAACATTTCCAGTATATTCCTATTTTCAAAGTTATTTTGAGTTGACAAGAGATTCACTGTGAATTTACCCAATAGCATAATAAATGAATAAACTACCTTTCTTTTTTTTTTTTTTTGAGACAGAGTCTCACTCTGTCACCTAGGCTGGAGTGCAGTGGCGCGGTCTCAGCTCACTGCAACCTCCGCCTCCCAGGTTCAAGCGATTCTTCTGCCTCAGCCTCCTGAGTAGCTGGGACCACAGGCGCCCGCCACCACACCCGGCTAATTTTTTGTATTTTTAGTAGAGACGGGATTTCACTGTGTTAGTCAGGATGGTCTTGATCTCCTGACCTCGTGATCCGCCCACCTCAGCCTGCCAAAGTGCTGGGATTACAGGCGTGAGCCACTGTGCCCAGCCTAAACTACCTATCTATTTAAATAATAGATAGAAGAGCTTGAATGTCATATTTATTTGGTGAATTTACATGTGAGGTCATTTACAAAAGAAAGATACAGACAGATGCAGCTTTCAGTGCGTTTCAAATATTTTCACAACAGGCAATATAGTCCATGAGAATTTGGAATGACAGTATAGAATGGCACATGCTTCAGTTTCCTTTGTGTTTCTCTACCCAACCCCAAGGTGAAAGAAGGGAGAAGAGTAGAAGAAAATGTCAGTGTTAATGTAAATACAGCCATGCAAATAAAAACTTTTTTAAAGTCAGAGATCATCCAGAGATGTAGAACATTTCTGTATTCGGGGCCTATCAGAAGGTGCATAATTTAAAAACAAAATGCAGAGGTCTCAAACTTTCCATCATCCAAATCATCTTGAATTATAATAACCGCACCAACTAATTAGTGGTCTCCCCAATATTTTCCAAAGATTGACTTTGAAAGGGAGTCATTTCTAATAGTTTCTTAAAAAGATAGCATTTGTAGACAAATCTTTTTGGTTTCAACAGAATTAAGCACCCTTAAGGGGTGTAAAAATGCTCCTTTACTCCCAACAGTGTAAACCATAATTATAATTCCTTCTTAAATAAACCTCTCCCCATCCTGAGTATTTCAAAACAAAAGACCACTGAAGAACACAACCCTTCCCTCACCAGAAAAATCTAGCATATAAGCAAAAGGATGGTCTATAAAAGTGGAAATTGGAAATAAATCTTAAAGTGATTTCTAAGTAAGGAGGCAGAGTAAAGATAAAACACTGCTACCAGTATCCCTAGTGAAGACCTGGACCTGGTTGGGTAGTTAGTCCTTAGAGATGAAGGTTAGCTCACTACAAAAAAAGCATTCTACATGTCCTCAGCATCTTCAAAAATAAGTGGCTCAAAATTCCTTAAGCACATGTAGCCATAGTTAAAGCACTAAACTTGTTATTTCAGGAAATACTATGCTCTGGCTCCAAGTCTTACATCCTTTTTGACCCTTTAGCTACATTTTCTTCACTAGAAATTTTAAGCTATTTCAATACTCCCATATATCACACTTACTCTACCTTTATTTGGGTTATACATACAAGCAATCTGCACTTTGATTTTTTAAAAGTTCTAAAATTTTTTAAAGAGATGGGGTCTCACTATATTGCCCAGGGTGGAGTGCAGTGGCTATTCGCAGGTGCAATCACATGGCACATTACAGCCTTGAGCTTCTGGTCTCAAGCCTCTTGCCTCAGCCTCCCAAGTAGCTGAGACTATAAATAGTATATACAATGCCACTGTACCCTCTATCCTACGCTTTTAAAAGCACACCATTAAATAGTACTAATTATTATAGAAAATAGTTACAGACAATTATAAACACACTTCTGTTTCATCTTACCTCTTTGTCTGGTCCACTCCCCCATCAATACTCAGTCTTCCAGCATATATATCAATTAGAATATTTTGCATCTGCATAATTTACTGTAAGAAAATCTGCTGTTGTGGACTTTAAGAAGAATGTACATTATCCTTTAGAGTAGAAAGGGGCCAAGAGGATTAGTAAGTGCCACCAAGTTTCTAAAACTCTGCAGAATCAGAGGCATTGTGCATGCTGACAATGGTTTAAAGGGTCTCTCAATTTTACTTTAATCCCCCATTGAACCTTTGTTTCTTTCAAAAAATCAACTGAAAGCGGTTAATTGAATATAAATCTATTTTACAGCATTTACTATGTTAATTTAAAAATCAACATGCTGTAAAATACTTACATACATTATTCACACATATAAAAAGACGAAATCATCCAGAACATAATCAACTCCCAACCCCCATTAAAAAAAAAAAAATCAACAAATCAGTTTTTATTTGCATGGCCAATTATCATTTGTACTCTTTGCAACTTTATTTAAATATCCCTTTAACATGTTCTAATCTTTTGTTGCACAGGGAATAAAAGCTGCAAGACTGCAAACTTCCTTCAACAGCCACACCCACAACACCTAGACATGAAACAGATGTAACAAATAACAACACCACAAACAGAAATACTAATTTCCACCATTCAACACAGTTCATGACAGTGTCTTTAGGGTTCAGTTGAAGAGGGGGTAAACTTTTAAAAAGAGGGTCAGTCTGCTTTCCCCCTATTTTATAATGTTGGTGGTTTTAATCCGTATTTCTTTGCAACTTCTGTCTGGGCATGGGCGGCATCACAAAGTGAATACAGATGGGCCATCTCCATTTCCGATTTGGCCAGGTTAATAGCTTTGTTGAACATGTCAATGGCTTTCTCCATGTTTCCTCTAAAAGAACAAAATTTTTAAGTCTCAGATTCAACAAGCACTTCACAATATTCAATGAAGGTTGTAAGTGATGATACATGAAGTCTCACCACTGAGTTTCTACTATGATTCTGGTAAAATGCTTCTTTTATAATAAACAAGAGTACCTACACCACATTGAGAGCACTCAATGAATGTTAACTACTATTACAAATATTATGTGTTTACATTATATCTCTTGTATTCTGTGTTTACTGATAAGAACAGTGAGACTACGGAAATTAATTGGCTTATCTAAAAATCACAATTCCGTCTGGTTCCTAAATTCTGCATGTTTCTACCATTAACATGAGACTCCTTTGGAAAGCAGTAACATAATCTCAGGACACTAATGACGTGCAAAGGCCTCACCTTCACAGACTGATGTAGGCCCCCCTCTTTCCGCTTCATCTCTTACCAGCACGTCACCAACCCCATGGACCTCTACTCTTCAGGCAGTCTATGTGAGTTCCTTGATGTACTGCACACTCATACCTACATACAATACTCAGATTTATGGCCTCTGCCTGATTCTGGTCAAATCCACAGCTATCTAAGGACCGTTTTAAGTAACTAGTATTAGCTACATCTATATGCAATCCTACAAAGAATATTAAGTCCCTACTATACACACACACACACACACACACACACACACACCCCCACCCCTACCTGCATATATAGTTTAACTGGCATACATGTTAGTAAGGTACATTTTACTGGCGTATGTGCCAGCTAGACTCTATATATGCCAGTAAGAAGTACCACTAGGGTGACTATATTTAATCCCCTATTACAATATATGGCAACGTGATAGACTTATTTTTAAAAAAACTTTTTTCAAGATTTCATGTTCTGGCATTAGGCCAACAGCAAGCAGATCTGCAAAATCCTAGGATAATCTGCGATTTCATTTATTCAAATTCACTTATTTAATTGTAAAGGTAAGGTTCAGAATGGATTTTTTAAAAGTTCGATTAACATGTGAACAAAATTCCATCAAACCCCAAATGAGAGGTCTTTAATTAACCCAGGATCTATGAAAGCCTTAAATTAAAAGCAAAGTGTTTTTGTGTGCATTATTCTAAGAAGAATCCACAGCGTTACTCAAAAAAGATTAAGAACTACCACCCTATCCTATTCTAGTACAAGAATATTTTATTCACATTAACAAATTAGCAATTAAGAAATAATTTAGGCTGGGTGTGGTGGCTCACACCTGTAATCCCAGCACTTCAGGAGGCTGAGATGGGCAAACCACTTGAGGCCAAGAGTTTGAGACCAGCCTGGCCAACATGGCAAAACCCCATCTCTGTTAAAAATACAAAAAGTTAGCTGGGCATGGTGGTGCGTTCCTGTAGTCCCAGCTACTTGGGTGGCTGAGGCACAAGAACTGCTTGAACCCGGGAGGCAGAGGTTGCAGAGTCAAGATTGCACCACTGTACTCCAGTCCGGGCTGGAGACTCTTTAAACTCACAAAAAGGAAAAAAAAAAAAAAAAACACTTAGTATTTACATGCCACTGTGGGTACAGAATGGTTCAAAAGAAACACTTTTTTTTTTTTTTTACCAGCCTATATATATTCTGCCTACTGTAGAGCAGGGAGAGGACTACAGGAAGGGCTGAATGATAGGGAATTAAGAAAACTCATGCTGCTTCCTGACAAGTGATAGTGTCCAGATCAGTGACTTTGGCATCAGTGATATCAGAGCTCAAACCCTGTCTTCTCTGTTGGCTTACTGTGCAACCTTGTAAACCTAAGCAGTCTGGGCATCAGTTAAACTAGGGATCACATAATCTCCACCTTTATTAAAGATGGGGGTGAAGATTAATTGAAAGAGTACTTAGAAAACATCTAAAGTTCAGTACTTGGCCTAGAGTAGGAAACTCTAATGGCAATGCCAATATTAAGATGGTACACAGTAAATCCCATGTATAAAATAGTTGTCACCTTTTAATGGTGGATCTTAAGAGCAATTCTGGATAAACATTTACACAAAATAAGAGGTTAAGGGCAGAGCCGCAAAAAAGATTCTTGATCCAACTCTGATTTTAAAGAAAATTCAGGGGCTCTGAGTTGATGTTGCAACTTGCCCAGTTATTTGGCTGGACGCTTCTTTGTAAGAGGGTCCAGATTTCCTGGCAACTTGGCTACCAATCCTTATGTCACTGCCTAAGCACATTACAGGCATTTTTTTTCCCCCAACAGGAATAAAAAGGAAAGAACATAACAGACTTTAACATGTATGTAACAAGAACAAAAAGCTAAATATCTATGGAGCTGCCACACGTTTCCTAATAACAGACTCCAGAAGTTACCTTTGTACTTCAATAGTTCCCATGGTTTCATAGGCAAAATCACATTTATTGTCAATTTCAATAGCCTTGCTGATAAGTTCCAAACCTCTATCCAGATCTTGCTTCCACTGAAGTTGAAGTAAACTGCAAATGCAAAAAAATAGTCAGATATGACCATGGCCCAGTATCAGTAGGAATACACATGTATTAATATGACTCAATTTCTACCTTCCATGAACTTATAAGTTAACTTACAAGGAAAAACAAAACCTAAAGCAATATATAATCAGCATCAAATTGTGTTTTTTTTCTCAACTTATATTGGTTTTCTAGTCTAAGTTCCTTATTACAAAAAGGGTTCAAGGTCTAAGCTCTATTACTAACTTATCTTGCATCCCTTATTTTTCACTTTATATAAATTTAAGTGAAATTTCTTAGGATAATTCAAGTACACAAAGGCCACGAACACTTGTGTATGCTTGCTATTTTGATATAAGCAACAGCTGACAGGATATTCAGTTTAAAATTAAAACCCTTAACATAGAGCAAAAATAGTATGTTAATTTTTCTTTGTTTCTTTTTTTTTTTTTTTTTTTGTTGAGACACAGCCTCACTCTGCCGCCCAGGCTGGAATGCAGTGGTGCAATCTTGGCTCGCTGCAACCTCCACCTCCCGGGTTCAAGTGATTCTCACTCCTTAGCCTCCTGAGTAGCTGGGAATCGGGCATGTGCCACCATACCCGGCTAATTTTTTGTAGTTTTAGTAGACACTGGGTTTCACCATGTTGGCCAGGCAGGTTTCGAACTCCCAATCTCAGGTGATCCGCCTGCCTTGGCCTCCCAAAGTACTAGGATTACAGGTGTGAGCCACTGCGCCTGGCCTCCTTAACTAACTTCTGTAAGAATGAAAAGACATCCAGGAGCATTAAGAAGTTTGTCAATTAACTTCTCTACCGCAGTCCCTTTCCTCAGTGGCCAAAATAAATACATTTTATTACTATGCAAGAAATTCATTACCTCATTGGAACAACCACAAAAATACATACCCTTTATGAACATATGTTGTGGCATTATCTGGTTCCAAATCAATACATTTATCATACATTTCATCAGCTTTACCAAACTGTTGTTGATCTGTTAATGCCTATGTGAGGAGATACTTCAGTTATATTAAGGTAACTGTCAACCTAAGCAGTTAAAAGTGTATTTATTATTCATTATAAAAATTTACTTCATTTATTCATTATTACAAAATTATCATGTTTTGGGGATACAGACTGATTTACATTTTACAACTTAATTGTTGGAGTTTGTAGGTGGCACTGGTATAAATATAAAATCTTAACTGTCCCCTTTCTTCAGCAAGTGGTTACCTGCCATAGCAGATAATCTCTGGTAAACTGTTCAATACAGATAATCCCATTCTTAGTGACAGCTCTAATATCACATTCTCATAGGTACAGTCACATCACTTATTCATGATTTATCATAATACAGCTCAAGGGAATTTTTTTTTTTTTTTTGGAGCCAGAGTTTCATTCTTGTTACCCAGGCTGGGGTGCAATGGCACAATCTCTGCTCACTGCAACTGCCGCCTCTTGGGTTCAAGTGATTCTCCTGCCTCAGCCTCCTGAGTAACTGGGACTACGGGCATGCAACACCTTGCCTGGCTAATTTTTGTATTTTTAATAGAGATGGGGTTTCACTATGTTGGCCAGGTTGGACTCGAACTCCTGACCTTAGGTGATCCACCCACCTTGGCCTCCCAAAGTTCTGGGATTACAGGAGTGAGCCACCGTACCCAGCCAGGGAATTATCTTAAGGGCAATATTCATCTGTAGGTATAAATTAAGATGTATGTGTTAAATGTCTTCAGAGCTATTTCTTTGAAATTATTGATTTTTTAAAAAGTAGCTATAACTGCTTCAACTAATACATCTCCAAAAATAATTTCCTAATATTATCTAATACCTAGCCCATATTCGGTTAACCCCAGTTATTTATAAGATGACTTTTAAGAACTATATGAGTCATTATTTTTGGCTGTATGGCTCTTAGTCTTTTCATATCTAAAATAAGCTAACTTAAATGTTTTAAAAATCTCTTAAAAATATCAAAGAAATATAGTCAGCACATCTTCTTTATAATAAAAATCAGAAAGATGTAGAAAGTAGAAATATTTTTATAGCTTCCACCATTGTGAGCATATGCCTTCCTGATATATTTATCTATCTCTATTTACCTCCCTATTCATTTTCTTTCACATGGTTTAGTTCATTTAGTATACAATTTTCCCTTTAATAACAGGCAGTGCTATATCTTGCTTTGTTAACTTTAATGTATTTTTAACTTTTAATGGCTGCATAATATACCATTAAGTGAGTGTACCACAATTCTGCAAACATAATTCAATCTTCTGTTGAACATTTACGATTTTCCCCAATTGTCTGTCATAGTTAACAATAATGTAATAAACACTTATTTTGAAAACAAAAGAAGCAGCTATAATCAGCTATCTTAAGGCAAATCCCACGGCTGAAATGTAAGGCATAGTTCTGTGGATATCAGACTATGCTCAAGCTGTAACTTTGCGACTTGGCCAGCATCTAAACCAAAGCTTTGAGGGCCAAAAAAGTTACACTAAGTATATATACACACACACATACATACACGTACTGTATGCATATATAAAGTTACATATACCATATAGTGAAGCTAAAATTAGAAAACAGATCAAAGAAAAGAAATCTGAGTGCAAAATGACTGTAATAATGCTAATGCTGATGAGAAGACAGCTCATACAAACCAAACCTATCTTGAAGGCAGAACGGTAATAGGGAAATATGCTATTGGGAAAGTTCTGCAGAAGAGTTGTTCCCCAGTAGCGGCTGCTATTCGGTGGCCTTTGCTCTTCTAGATGCTTAGAGAAATCTGCACCAAAAAAGCCCTTCTGAATTCCATGACAATGATGAGAATGTTGCTGTCACTTCCCGGTTTGTTACCAATTATAAGGCATAAACTCAAGTGTACCCATTCATAGGATTAAAATGTACACTTCAATGCAGTTATATATAAGACCTACCTCTAAAGAACTGATCCAACACAATCCAATTTTCTCATAGTTCCACCCTCAATAAACCCTTAAAATCCTTGTGAAATTGTTCTTATAACCTGCCTAGAGATACCATGAAGAAAATTAGAAACAAAGCAAGCAACCTTAAGAAGGGTTTAAGGAGAGGGGTCAACCAGGGATGGTAATACATATATATATATATTTTGGAAATACAGTCTCACTCTGTTGCCCATGCTGGAGTGCAGTGGTGCAATCTCAGCTCACTGCAACCTCTGCCTCCCGGGTTCAAGTGATTCTCCTACCTCTCAGCCTCCCCAGTTGCTGGGATAACAGGTGTGCACCAAACCACACCCAGCTAATTTGTATATTTTTAGTAGAGATGGGGTTTCTCTATGCTGGCCAGGCTAGTCTCAAACTCCTGGTTCAAGTGATCCGCCTGCCTCAGCCTCTCAAAGTGCTGGGATTGCAGGCAGGAGCCACCACACCCAGCCAGGGGAGGGTAATTTGTTATTGTTTCCTATTTCTATGCTGTGGAGAAAAACCCAACATGTCTTTTGTAATTAAAAAGAAAAATAAAGTATATAGAGCATCAGTCCCCAACACTTTCCCAGCACTTCTGGCACCACAGACCGGTTTTGTGGAAGACAATTTTTGCATGGATGGGGGTGGGAGGAGGAGGGATGGTTTTGGGATGAAACTGTTCCACCTCAGATCATCAGGCACCAGAATCTAATGCTGCGGCTGATTTGACAGTGACAGGAGGCGGAGCTCAGGTAGTAATGCTTGCCCAGTGCTCACCCGCTGGGCGGCCCCATTCCTAAGAGGCCTCAAAGCAGCTGTACCGCTGATACAGAGTGTTGAGATGGCTAGTTTATGCAGATACCAAAACCAATTTTCAGCTTTAAGAAAGAAAACTGAGTCATTCAGAGGTCATTTATTTGAGGGGAAAATGTATGACCATGACCTACAAGAAGCTAATCATTTTCATTTAAATGGATGATTTAAAACTAAGAAGTTTTCAAGAATTTCAGACTACAATAAGAAAGTTAAAACAATTCAGATTTAAATCCTGCTTTTCGTACCTTCAATCCTAAACCAAGAGAGTTTCAAGAATTTTAGATAAAGATAAAATAAACTATTACAACAACCTAGCCATATAAAAAGGCAGTGACCAAACAGAAAGAAATGCCTTTCTGTGGATATTTTCTCCACCAACTGCATACAGTAAATTTTCCTAAGGCAATTACTTTTTGCAAAACCAATCCAAAAGAAGAAAGGACAGAAATTTTTGCCTTAAGCTTCCCCATATTGAGTTTAGGGCCACGATTTCCAAATTGTGTAACAAAGGAGCCTCTTCTGAGGTGATTCAGGACCAACCAGGAGCCACGAGAATCAATCAGAAACAAAGCCACCTGCTTCCAAAGAAGCTGCAACCACGACAGCACTGTTTTCTGATTTCCACGCTGAGATGTAGCATATGTATGCAGTGATTTTTTAAAAATCTGAAAAAAACATTTACCTGGGCATATAGTGCATAGCCTTCGGCACACCTTGGAAATTTCTTTATGACCTCTTCAAAACCTTTCATAGCTGCTTGGATTTGTGAAGAGTTGTTTCCTGTATATGCCTGGCGGTACTATAAAAAAATCAAAACAGGCCTGTCAAATCAAGAACTCAAAAACTCATGGAATGTTATCATAAACATACAAAATTACATAAATATTTCCAAAAAACAGGTGATTTGCTAACATAATCTGCAGCATCCAAAAGGGTTCCAAGTAGGTATCTCAGCAGCAGAGAGCCAAAGGTTACGTACAACTACGACTCCATGGCCACTATACAATTTCAAGATGTTCAATACTGTAGAAGAGGGCATACTAATTTGTAAGAAGTGAACTTTGCAATAAATGAATTTTAAATCTAGTAAAATTTTTGTCATTTTTTTCATTTATAATATATATTTGTGACACAATTTCTTCCTTTAAACGGAAAATTCTTTTAGGACTCTAGCCATACAGCTAACTGGAAGTACCTTATTTTACTAGAAATGCACTTAAAAAAAAATGCAACCTTTTGAGCTTTATGTTTCTGAATATTAAGAAATAGTTCTATGAAACAGGGGTGAGAGAGCAAGTTACATGATGTCATGTTTACAGAGTATTTCCTCAAAATGTTTTTCTTTTTGTATTGATTTATGGTGGAGAAGCAGGGAGACCAGTTCTGTTTAGGGAAGTATAAAATCAGGGACAAACATCTATCAAGATGAACCCAAACAAATGTCTAGAGAAAAACAAGAGCTAGGTATTAACCAGCACCTTTTTTCCTCAGTAGTTATCCTTTGGGAAAGAAAGAAAGAGAAGACTTTGTAGACAATGAGATACTCATTTTTGTTGACACTGGAAAATAAAAGTGATGTTTAGGAAAATAGAAGAGATAGTAGTACCTACCAATGCAAAACATTTCTGTGCTTGTGCCAGAGCAGACTCAGGTCTTAACCTAATACACTCATCAAAATCTGCCACTGCTTCTTCAACTTGATCAAGGAGTATTTTCAGCTAAGAAAAAAATACGTAAATAAATGTAATTCAAATAGGCCCACCAGTTAAGTATGTTCTGTATCCCATCTCTATTATTACAGCTCAGCATAAAGCTGAGCATGCAGTAATTATTCAATATATAATTACTTTCTAAAAACAGTGAATTTAAAAATCTTGAAATTTAAAAGGCAAGATTCCAAAACATAAAAATGGTATCCAACTTTTAGAAAGGACTACAAGCCAACCATTTCTGCACTGCAATTCTGACCACTATTAAGCAAGAAACCCCTTCTTCTAGAAAACTAAACATCCTGTACATTCTAATATCAAAGCAGGTTAGACATCAGATAATTACCTTTCAAATGAATCTTCAGACACTACCAGTAAAGATCAAAATGTCAAGAATTTTAAGAGGTTATCTCAACGCTTAACATCCTTCCGAAAGAAATAGTCATGCATAATTACATTTCAATCAACAGACCGCAAGATTGTAATACTGCATTTTTACTGTACCTTTTCTATGTTTAGATATGTTTTAGACACACAGATACTTACCATTGTGTTATAACTGCATATAATATTTGGTACAGTAACACCCTATACAGGTTTGTAGCTTAGGAGCAACAGGCTACAACATACAGCGTAGGTGTGTAGTAGGCTATACCATCTAGGTTGTGTAAGTACACTCTATGATGTCCGCACAACAAAATCACTGAATAATGCACTTCCCAGGCAGGACACATGACGCTATTAGGTAAAATTCTCCATTAGAAAGAACTTCAGCTCTTCTGTTATTATCATGCATAGCCCACACTTTACCATAAAGCATTCCAAGAAGCCATGTTAAGCCCACTATAAAGCTATGTTTTCCCCACCTGAGACAGTAATTGGAAACTGTGTCTTCTCTATATATTTCCACTAAAAAACTAATATGCCTGTTACAAAACTTGAAAAGATAAATACACTTATTTTTACGATTTGGACAGTCCAGACTATTTCCTTATATAGCAGGAAGCTCACGAAAATCATCCTGTTGATTCTAGAATTAACTCAGATTGCTTACTAAATGTTATTAATGTTTTACTCATTGAAAACCTATGAACCAGAAACACCAGAAAAACAAACTTGAACTGGTAAGCCAACAGTTTTTGCCTTCCTCTACTCTTTTTTCGTAAGTAAATAGCAAAATTAAACAAAGGCCAATTCAAACTGTAAACCACTGTGGTACTTTGTTCACAACTATCAGAAATTATATTAAAAAAATCAAGAAAATTATACAAGAAATTCTCAAAAATGGTATCAAATAACTCAATCTAAAAGTCAGACCTCTAGGTAAGAAAACAGACGTACCTGTCCTCGGTGGTGATAAACATCTGCATTCTGAGGGTCGATGTCAGCAGCCATGTTAAAATCCTGAGTGGACAGCAAAGGCTGCTGCTGTTGCATGTACATGCTGCCTCTTTTGATGAGAGCATTTGCTCGAAGCTATATACCCCAAATGAGGAAAGGTTCATCATTACTTTTTTTTTCCTCCAATCTAGTTTCTTTAAATAACAGCTTTTTTCTATCATCCACATATCACAAAGGTCACCCTTTTAAAGTATGCGTGTCAGCTGTTTTTAGTATATTCACTAAGTTGTATATTGATTACCACTATCTAATTCCAGAACATTTTCATCACCCTTAAAATAAATCCCATACAAATAAGCAGTCACTCTCCATCCCCGCTCACCTCCTACACTCTTCAGCCCCTAGAAACCACCAATCTATTTTCTATTTCTACGGATTTGTATATTCTGGATGTTTCATATAAGTGGAATCATACATTATATATAGCCTTTTGTGTCTGGCTTCTTTGATTTAGCATAATGTTTTCAAGGTTCATCCATATTGTAGCATGTATCAGTTTTTCATTCTTTTGTTATGCCTGAAAAATATTCCATTGTACAGGTATCACATTTTATCTATTCATCAACCGATGGACATCTGAGCTTCTTTCACTTTTTGGCTACCATAAATAATGCTGCTATGAACATTCATATACAAGATTTTTTAAAAAGTTTTTTAACATAGGATGAGATTTTGCTGTGTTGCCCAGGGTAGACTAGAACTCCTGGGTTCCCAAAGTGCTGGGATTATAGGTGTGAGCCTCCACACCCAGCTCTCATGTATAAGTTTCTGTGTTAATGAATGTACTAAATTCTCTTGGGTATATACCTAGGAGTGCAATTTCTAGATCATACGGTAACTTTTTGAGGAACTGCCAAACTAATTTCCAAAAGGGCTTTCCCATTGTATTAATACATTTCCACCAGCAATGTATGAGGGTTCCAATTTTCCACATCTTCAAAAACACTTATTATTATCCACCATGTTTTTTATTAGAGCCTTATTGTCTTTTTGATTATAGCCATCCTAGGAGGTGTGAAGTGGCATCTCACTGTGGTTTTGATTTGCATTTCCCTAATGGCTAATGACGCCATCTTGTCATTTATATATTTTTTGGAGAAATGTCTATTCAGATCCTTTGCCCATTTTTAACTTAGGTTGTCTTTTTATTGTTGAGCTCTTAAGAGTTCTTTATTCTGGATACAAGCTCCTAATCAAATACATGATTTGTGAATATTTTTCCCGTTGAGTGATGTGTTTTCTCTTTCTTGATGGTGTCTTTTCACACAGAAGTTTTGTTTTGTTGTTTTGAGACAGGATCTCTGTCACCCAGGCTGGAGTACAGTGGCACAATCACGGCTCACCGCAGACTCGACCTCCCAGGCTCAGGGGATCCTCCCACCTCGGCCTCCTGAGTAGCTGGGACTACAGGCACATGCCGTCATGCCCAGTTAATTTTCAGGCATGAGCCACCACCCCCAGCCAAGCACAGAAGTCTGATCACGTCCAATTTATTGTTTGTTTGTTTTTTTTTTTGGTTGCTTGTGCTTTTGGTGTCATATCTAAGAAACTACTATTTATCTAAGGTAACAAACATTTAGTCCTCTATTTTATCCTAAGAGTTTAATAGTTTTAGCTCTTAAACATTAAGGGCTCTAATCCATTTTAAGTTAATTTTTGTACATGGCATATGGTAAGCATCATTACTACTTGCCATTAAAAGTCATGTGATCATGAAAACAATACGTTTCTTTAAATTTTTGTTCAAAGCAATAGTACATACATATAGAACAAATAATATCCTCCATAATTGTAACAAAAACATATAACATATAATAGTTGTAATCATCAGGAAAATCAGCAGAATATTAAGGATAATATTATGAGGGTATCTTCAATTTGAAAATCTCATTTTGAAAGAAACTTTCAACAATATTTAGGTCTTAAAAACAACTATTATATCCCCCCAAATACAGCAGATGAGAGAGGCTACAGAGTTCATGTAATGCAATGAGGAAACAGGTCAGAGATGTTAACAAACTAATAAGTAATATAGTTAATTAGTGGTTAAATTCTGTTTTGTTACACTGAATAGAATGTAACAATTCAACAGATACCTCTGAATCTTAATTATGAAATGCATAATACACAGCACATTAAGAATATTTAGAAAATGTTAGGCTGCTCCAACTGTACAACTGCAAAACTTTTGGCATATTTATACATTCTATTTTTAGAACCTTTTTTTCATGTAACATAAAACCTTTCTGAATATATTAATGTGTTTTTATTAAGTGTTTTATACCTGGTGCTACAAATTATATGTTACTTACAGCATTATCTACAGAATTGCTATATCACTTTTACCACTGCCCAAATACAGTCCAATACAGTAGGCAGTGGCTACAGGGAGAAGATGAAACTACCAGATGCTACAGGAAAAAAAAAGTCCTTTCCTAAATAAAGATAAATATCATTGATATTTATATTTTCAGATTCACTGCACCAATTACGTTATTATTAAGAGTAGTTTCTTCAAAAACAAAAACAGCCCTTCGAAGAATGGCAGTTGAAATGCTTTAAAAAATCTGGCAAAACATAATGAAAGGCATCACCTTCTATTTAATAATTTCTTCACACACATTTTTTAATGTACCTTCACATTAGCTTCTTTCAAACTGATGACTTTATCTAAATCTGGTTTGGCCGCATTGGCATTGCCAATAAGCAGGTAGAAGGTAGCTCGTAGTAGTAATGCTTCTGCCATGTATTTGCCTTCAGCATCTATTTCTTTTGAGCATTCACTTATGATTTTATCGTAGTTTTCTTCTTCCATATACTGTTTGGCCTTTAAATATCCAGAACTGAAAATAAAAACAAACATAGGAAATTATTTACTAAGAAAAAATTAAATGTGCCCGGGTATAGTGGCTCACGCCTGTAATCCCAGCACTTTAGGAGGCTGAGGTGGGCGGATCATTGAGGTCAGGCGTTCAAGACCAGCCTGGCTAACGTGGTGAAACCTGTTTCTACTAAAAATACAAAAATGAGCTGGGCATGGTGGCGTGTGCCTGTAATCCCAGCTACTCAGGAGCTGAGGCAGGAGAATCGCTTGAACCTGGGAGGCGCTGGTTGCAGTGAGCCGAGATGGAGCCACTGCATTCCAGCCTGGGTGACAGAGCGAGACTCCATCTCATAAAAAAAAAGAAAGAAAAGAAAAGAAAGAAAAAATTAAATGTTAAAACATGCCACATTTAGCACACCTGAGTAAATTAAGCAATTGTCTATTTGCCCTTAACAAGATAATCAGCCAGTGTGGGATGGAGCTGGGGTGGGGAAAGGGCGGTGCAGTTAAAGAGATTAGGATTTTTGATGTAGATGGGGATTTTCTTGAAACCTTGGACAAGGAGTTTTAAAAAGGAAGCAGCAGAGTCCTGGGTAATACCTCAGCTCAGACATTTAGATACTGAAAAGATGAGCTAATGAAATAGAGACTGATCTGCAATATGGGTAAGGATCCTGTCTTATTCACCTTCCTATCTGAAGCACATCAATGGTACTCAACAGTGTTTAACGGTTAACAGAAGGAACAGGGAACTAGGAAATAAGTGAGTTTAGAGTCACAGAAGCTAAGGCAAGAGGTGTGAGCAGACCTAGAATTAATAACTGAACTTATTAAAGAAGCGAATTCAAAGTACGACTCTTCCATCAATTAATACTTTAAAAAACATCCTTCTCTATGTTTTAAAGAGCAGTGAACACAGTATCTCTTATTATTCTTCTAAGATGATGACTTTTATGGAGATGCTTGTAGAAGTAATCTTTTTATCTGAAATTTGTACTAGGTGTCATGAGGTACATGAGATATCTTCCAAACATAAGGCATTGTAAATTAAAGTACATTTTCTTATTTCAGTTGTTATATGTGTATAGAAAAAACTGGCAAATGACTTAAAAGTTACGTCAGGCCAGACGCGGTGGCTCATGCCTGTAATCCCAGTAGTCTGGAAGGCTGACGCGGGAGGATCACCTGAGCCCAGGAGTTCAAGACCAGGCAGGGCAACATGGCAAGACCCCCATCTCCATAATTAAAAACAAAAAAAATTGGCCAGCCACGGTGGTGTGCACCTAGAGTCCCAGCTACTTAAGAGGTTGAGGCGAGAGGATAGCTTGATTCCAGGAGTTGGAGGCTGCAGTAAGCTATGATCGCACCACTGTATTCCAGCCTGAGTGACCCCCCTCTCTCCTTTTTGTTTTTTGAGACAGAGTCTTGCTCTGTTCCCCAGACTGGAGTACAGTGGCATGATCTCAGCTCACTTCAACCTCTGCCTCTGGGACTCAAGCCATCCTCCCACCTCAGCCTCCCCAGTAGCTGGGACTATAGGTGGACACCACCATGCCAAGCTAATTTTTGTTAGTTTTCTGTAGAGATAGGGCTTCTCCATGTTGTCCAGGCTAGTCTCAAACTCCTAGACTCAAGCAATCTGCCCACCTCAGCCTCTCAAAGTGTTGGGATTACAGGCATGTGCCACCATGCCTGGCCTGACCCTGTATCTTAAAAAAATAAATTAAAAAAGTTATGTCAGTGAAAAATCTTATAAGCTCTACCCTAACCTCTCCTGAAATTACATTCAAATGTTGCCTACATTCTAGTTTTGTTTCTCAGCTCACCAGGCTAAGAAAACACAAACAGGCCAGGCGCGGTGGCTCACACCTGTAATTCCAACACTTTGGGAGGCCGAGATGGGCAGATCACCTGAGGTCGGGAGTTCGAGACCAGTCTGGCTAACATGGGAAACTCCGTCTCCACTAAAAATACAAAAATTAGTTGGCGTCGTGGTGTGTGCCTGTAATCCCAGATACTAGGGAAGCTGAGGCGGGAGAATCGCTTGATCCCAGGAGGCAGAGGCTACAGTGAGCCAAGACTGCGCCACCACTGCACTCCAGCCTAGGCAAAAGAGACTCCGTATCAAATAAAAAAAAAAAAAGAGAGAAAAGAAAGAAAACACAATGATTTAAATCAGATTAGAAGTAATGTCAACTTACTGAAGAACATAAGTGTTAGTTATTTATAAGCATGATTTCTACACCTCGCAATAACCTCGTAAGGTAAATATTACTAGCTCCATTTAAGGGATGATAAAGCTAAGGCTCACAGTAAACTGGCATTTAAAACTTAGGTCCAATTCCAGTTAGTGTGCTGATGATAGCTAGCTACATCCTACCATCTCTCAATAAAGCTTTTAGAATAATGGTATTAAATTCATTATAGTTTTTCTGGGACAAGGACTATTTCCTAACCAGAAGAAGAAATTGTTTGCATAACAGTCACAAAGAGCTAACATGACATCTTGAACACTTACTTCCCAACTACAATCTTCTCAAAGATTGTGTATCAATGAACTAAAATTTGTACACTGCAGTATAATTATGCATAGTATCTTCTCTTAAAAGGTCACCAGCAATGGTAGAAAAATTGGAAGATAAAAATCAAAAGCAATTTGTTTCTTCAAACCCTGCAATATGCTGCAGATGCAAAACCCAGTTATGCTCAGCTACTAGAACAGTATTTCCTTTTCTTCCTAACTCATTAAAAAATATCATGTTGATAATAATATCGTACCTTCTCTCAGGGAGGAGAGCTACCCTTGACAGAAAAATACAAGTATTGACAAATATGAATGGAATAAAGCAGGCTAGATGACTTATATGACATTATATCACTAGGTGTCCAGCTAGAAACATAGTATCCTGTACTTTTCAGCTCTCTACAGACCCCAACAAGAAGCCCTCCAAATAGGCATCTTCCTAGACAAGCAGAAAAAATCTTGAAAAAATTCACTCTTTGTACATCCCTAAAAGTATCTCAGTTTACAAATTAAAAACTTCCCTGTACTAGAACATCTGCATGTTGAGCTATACAGTAATTTTCAAGTTATTGCCTCTATTCAAACACAGTCAGTCACTGGATTCAATGGGAGTCCTCTTGAGAAGATCACATAGGACCTTGAGTAAAAGCAGGGCAGACTCCTGGCAGTAAAACCTTGAGTCACCAGAGAAGTAACAGACATATGCTAGAAAGAAAAGTCTTTTTATAATAATAATATTATATAATTTTAAATTATATTTCTGTCTATCTCTATCTGTAGATAGACAGCTGCTGTGACATGGCTCAGAACCCATCTGGGCCCTAAGGAATATTCAAAGCCGCCAGAACACCACTAAGCAGACACTATGCTTGACATACTTACTTTTCTTTCACTTCTAAAGCCTCCCCTTCCTTGTCTTTATCTTCATCAGACTTCTCTCCTTTAAGCATGGGCTGGGAAATGATATCATCCGTGAAAGAACTGAAGTAAGATTTGATAAACTGTGGAGATGGCATCAGAGGTTCACGATTCTGAAATTTAGTCATGTTCAAAGACATCAGAATGGGAAATACTAACCAAAAAAGCAGGTACGTTGTAGAACACTAAGAATAACTGTCATAAAAATTGGATTTTCATTTTTCAAATAACTAAAATTAAGCTCCAAGCCGCAGAACAAAAGAGAGTGGAAAAGGTGAAGCTGCCAGTCCCAGCTGGTCAAAGCAGGTTTTAAATGAGAGCCTTTTCCCTCTACAAAGATGTAAGATCACATCTTACACAGGTGCTGAAAATGTTAAGTCCATTTACCCTGGGCTTTCATCTAAAGATCTTTATTACAGGTAAGTGCCACTGAAAACCATACTGAAATCACATTTCCTGTTTTGATTATTTATTTGACACATAGCAACCTAATTCACAATTATGGGAGAATTTTGTTCCTCCCAAAACACAATTATCATTATAAAGTTTTAAATAAAGTGGGAACAACACACCCAAAGGGCTCTCATAATGTATTTTGAATCCTTTATCTACACAATTCAGCCCAAACAGTTTAATGGAAACACAGAATTTTAAATTGTATGTGTAACAAATATCACTACTGTTATTTTGGTAATGTCTTCATATTCGAAGGAAGAAAAAAAGGAATTGGCTTTGTAAGTAAATTATCTAATCTAGGATAGATCAATGTGGGATCCAAAGAGAACTAAAAAGGAAACCTAAGAGAAAACCCATATTGATCTGTGGGCACTCTCTGGGGAGAGATTCAATTTGTTTTTATTTAGGATAATAAAATATTTTAAGTCAAATGGTCACCTATCCAGTGATAAAAATGCCTAACTTTAGTACTTTATACTAAAGACACTCTGAGAAGAAATACGTAGTGGCAATCATTTACCATTTTAGGGGAAAAGCTTAAATAGAAATTTAAACAGCACTTACTTGAAGCTAGATAAATCACTAATGTTTTTTAGTTTCCTATTTCAGCTTAGAAAAGCAGCTATCACCTCCCTGCGTTCTATATAGGGTTATAAATTTAAAGTGAAAATAAACTGTTGCAAGAAAGGGATTTAAGTATCAAAGGAACACGATACAACTTCTAGTTCTGCCACTTATTAGCTATGTGATATTATGTACGTCATTAAACTTTTAGTATCAGTGTTCTCATCTCTAAAATGGCAATAGAAATACTTGCCTTATTTATCTTATACGGTTGTTATAAAAAATCAAAACAATAATATAGAAGGTATTTTGTGATTTACAAAGTGACAAACAGATTAGAAAATGTGGAGACTGATCTGTAACCTATGTAAATATACATTATTTTACATTTTCTTACCATCCTGCAATCCAACCAGTCTAATTACTCCACACTATGTATAAGGAAACTAGGTTCCTTTGAGGTTGAATTTATGGACTCTACCATGGTGTTTTACAAAGTGATTTCGAGAAACACTAGTCTTATGAGATGCTCAAGAGAAAAAAAAATTCATAGTTTAAAAAGACTGGGGCCAGGCGCAGTGGCTCACGCCTGTAATTCTAGCACTTCGGGAGGCTGAGGAAGGTGAACTGCTTGAGTTCAGGAGTTTGAGACTAGCCTGGGTAACATGGTGAAACCCTGTGTCTACTAAAGTACAAAAAATTAGCCAGGCGTAGTGGTGCATGCCTGTAGTCCAGCTACACGGGAGGCTGAGGCATGAGAATTGCTTGCACCTGGGAGACAGAGGTTGCAGTGAGCCAAGATAACAACTGCAGTCCAGCCTGGGCGACAAAGAAAGAAAAAAAAAAAGACAGAGAGAGAGAGAGAGAGAGAGAGAGAGACTGGGAATCACTTCAGCTATACCCCTCTTAAGAGATTCACGCCACGCCTTAGTAGATTATTAAAGTCCTGCAGTGAAGAAACTTGTTTTAACTGTTTCACTCAGCTAACATCCAGAGATGTAAAATTAAAAATACAGATTACTAAAATCAATTCAAGAAAAAAGCAAGTTATTATTAAAGGAAAAAGAAACAATTACCTCGCTATTACTGGGATTTAACAATGAATCTCCAGTGATGTTTATTGATGCAAAGAGAGTATGTAAGTACTCTCTTTACTTACATCTCACCTTGGGCAGTTAACTATAGCATGCCTTTTATACATAGTAACAGTCAGTCTTTCTCACTAAATTTTAATTCTGTAAGGGCAAAGGCCATGTCTTTGAACCCATCCCTCCAAAATGCCAAACATGTAGCTTTGTTTAATAAATGATTGTTGAATTAAACTACCTGTTAATAATAGCCTAAAACTAATGCCAACTTACACAGTATACCTTTAAAAACTTAATAATATAGAAAAATATTTTTCTGTAAAGGGCCACATAGTAAATATTTTAGGCTTTGGAGTCTATACAGTCTGTCACAACCACTCAACTCTGCTGTTGTATCTCAAAGGCAGCTGAAAACAACATGTGACTGAACATTTATAAAAACAGGTAGCAGACTGGATTTGGCCTATGGGCCACAGTGTGGCAATCCCTAACAGAGATGAATTCCAATATTCTCCAGGTAGAGTACTGGATAGAGCATATATTCTTACTGAAGAAGGACAAGCCATAAAAGCCCAAGATAATAGGAAGAAGAAATATAGCCCAGTTCTAATTGCAGCTGTTGCCATTACCACTATGCCTAAGCTTAAGCAGCATAAACTTAGAAAATACCCCTCACAATGTACATAGTACTCCCTCTATCCCCCAAATCAGATAAATTTACCTTATATTTTTCTTTGGCTTTCTCTTTTCCAAGGAGTTTAAGAACTTTATCGGCTAAAAGCATGCTTTGTTGATTTTGGAACCCTTCTAATATACACACAGCAGTGACATCTAGAAATGAAGAAAAACACAAGGGTAAATATAAAATTACTGCAAAGATGGTCAGCAGCAACAAATGGGTACAGTGTAACTACAGAAAGCCAAACTAAATTCATGGCCAAATGGGACTGTTTCATTTCCAATTAATTGATTCTTAATACCTAACTTTATATTCTCTATGACCAAACTGAAAGCTCAGAAAGTCACTCCACTTCTCTGGGGTTTGCTTTCTTTACCTGTGAAATGAAAGGGGCTATGCTGCATGATTTCTGATGTTTCTCACCACTCTAACATTCTATATATAGAAAATAAAACAAGGAATCCAGGAATATTCTCTTCTGGCTAGCAACTCAGGCATATCAACATAGTGTGGCTCTCTCATGTCTGGTGTTTTTCTTAGGCCTGAGTTATTCCTTGTCTCCAAAGCCATCTTGCCACAGAGCTCTCAAATAAATCTGCCTCCATACCTTTTCATCTGGTTATGTCACAGCTCAAGATGCATGCAGAGGTTTGAAATTCAAAAGATAATTCGTTCCTTAACCTCTCAGTCTTTCATTCAAAGCACTCAAACAATGACGTCTCTTCTCTTTCTGAATTAAATTTCCTGTAATTCCACATCCTTGCTCCACCAAACAAGTCAATCTGCTGTTATATTCCCCTAATAACCATGGCTAGAGCCAATGTCAATGTCTTTTTTCCCCCATCCTGTTTCTTCTACGTGACACTTCGATCACCCTCCTCTCTGCCAGTTATTATGTTAGTAACTTCAAGGTCTGGTTCAAAACTCAGGATTCCCTTTTCTAAAACAATACTCTTTCCACATACTATCAAAGTATGTGCCACCACAGAACCTCAAACTTTGCTAAAATGTTCTCTAAAATACCCTCATTTGGGAATCTATACTTCTCTTTTCAGAAAGGGGCCTTTTCCTTTTACTGATGCTTTTAAAGCAGACTTAAATATGAAATGGAAAGAACTTTTAGACTGTAGAAAATTATACTTTGGTTTTGCTTCATATCACCTAGAAGAATGTACTTCAAAGGCCAGAGGTATACTGTAATTGCAGCTTGGGAAGCAGCGAAATGACCAATCAGAGATCACAGAATATTTATGGCATTTACTGAGAATGACAAATTCACTTTGATGCTTTGTACCAATTACATCATTTCCAATTAGGTGTAAATTAGGTATAAAACAATTTCCAATTGGGTATAAAATAATGTTTGAAAATGCCGCAGGCAAAAAACAATGTTTTCCTTAATGATTCATCTCAAAGCTATGTTTATACATATTATAAACATAGCTCATGTTTATACATATTATAAACACAGCTCTCAAAGCTGTATTTGTACCTATTAAACGAAATATGTAGAACCTTAGAAACACTATCACTTGCTAAAACCTCTTTTCTGATTTCCTTATTCAGAGAATTATACTAACGCTGATGAGCTGCTAAGTTTAAAATGTGTAGTAAACTCGTAATCTTAATACTCATTTAATTCCATAGTTGAGAACAGAGACAATACTTAAGTATCAGCAATCTTAATTTAAACTAGAAGACACAGTCTTAATTGCAAAGGAATCCAACTTTTAAAAACAACTGATTCTTGCACTCACAAGGCACAGTTTCATATACATTTACCAATGACTACAAAATCTTAAGTAATTTTCATATGTAAACACAAAATGACCCTCACCTTCTAAACATTCCTTCTTATTGTCTAGCTTCTCATGGGCTTTTGCACGTCTAAAGAGAGCTTTCACATATTTGGGATTAAGTTCAACAGCCTTTGTACAATCTTGTGCCACTTCTTTCCATTTTTGCTGTAATTGAAAGTATTCCAAAAAAGTCACACTGAAGAAAGTACTGTTCAATAGAAATCAGTTCAAACTTAATAGGCTGAGTATTAAAAGTCCTAGAATAAAAAAGTATTCCTAATAGAAACAAAGAGTTAACATCTGCAATACATTACAAAAGCACATATAAATATCAAAAAGTTAAAGAAATAGCCTCAAACTGTTGAGGAGAATAGGGTCACCAGAAACTTTCTATACTATGTAATTTTATAAAATCTGAAATATACTTAACTTTGGAGTATATCAGTAGTCAGCAAAACTATAGAATTTGTTCTTTAAAAAGTTTTGCAATTAATGGAAATAAAAACAACATCCCATAATTTTGAAACAGCTTCAAAAAATATATTAGGTTTATTTGAGTAGCATTAACTGAAACTTTAAGCAAATAAAGAGAAACAAAAGGAACAGAAGAAACAACCTAGAGTACATACCAACTGTTCAAAGGCAGCAGCTCTGTTTTGATAAAATGTAGAAAGGTCGACATTCTTCTCTGTAGGACACAAGCTAATAGCCTCAGTATAGCACTGAATAGCTTGTTCATATTTTCCTGCTTTAAAATATTTATTGCCTTTATTCTTGGCTGCTTGGGCTCTATCAAGAGAGTTCTGAAATGAGAAGAAACAATGTATCAAACACTAATCGACATTCACAGATTCAGACCACAGTAATTAAACAATAAACTGATAAAAACAGGAAGACAGAATGGCTGTTTATAAGGTAAGTTGCTTCATACAAGTATTTTCATGGAATAGATTCTAACTAGTAGGATTGTTGAGTCAAAAAGCATATTGTGGCCAGGCATAGTAGCTCATGCCTACAATCCCAACACTTTGGGAGGCTGAGGCAGGCAGATCACTTCAGGCTAGGAGTTTGAGACTGGCCTGGACAACGTGGCAGAACCCCGTCTCTACAAAAAATACAAAAACTAGCTGGGTATGGTGGCACACGCCTACAGTCCCAGCTACTCAAGTGGCTGAGGCATGAGAAATGCCTGAACCCAGGAGGTGGAGGCTACAGTGAGCCGAGATCACACCACTGCACTCCAGCCTTGGTGACAGACTGAGACTCCTCTATCTCTGCCCACCCACCCCTCCCCGCAAAAAAGCATGAGAGGTGCCCTGCTATATTGCCCAGGCTAGTCTCAAATTGCTAGGCTCAAGCAATCGCCCTACCTCCATGTTCTAGGCAGATGGGATTATAGGTGCACACTACCATGCCCAGCTAAAAGACACACACACACACACACACACACACACACACACACACACACAGATATATACATATATACTTTTTTCTCTCTCTCTGTCGCCCAGGCTGGAGTGCAGAGGCACAATCTTGGCTCGCTGCAACCTCCACCTCCTAAGTTCAAGTGATTCTCCTGCCTCAGCCTCCCAAGTAGCTATGGCTACCAGCACGCACCACCACACCTGGCTAATTTTTTTATTTTTCAGTAGAGATGGGGTTTTGCCAGGTTGCCCAGGCTGGAGGTTTATATGTTTTTAATTTCAAAAACAATCAGACTTTTTCAAAAAGGCTGTAGAACTTTAAAGTTTTTAAAGGATTTCAAGTGTGCAAAGGATTTCTAGGAAGCTCTAAGTATCTAAGCTCAGAATATTACATAGCTACTTTAAGCTAGCTAGTGTCAACCAGAATGTATATTTTAAAACTGATGTGGGAGGATGAGAGGAACCAAGACAAGCACATATAAATTAATAGATGAACTTAAAATCTTCCATTTGTCAGTAGACTTAATTATCTTCCAAAAGCTTTGAAACATAAGTTTAATTTCAAGGATACATCATGTTTCAGGACTATGAATACGTGCCAGGACTAACAGAGACTGCTACAGGACTGACAGAGAAACACCCACAAAACACCCACAATAAAGCAAAACTAGGAATCCCTTATGTAGCTGTAGGCTCTAGGGGGCAATCATCAGGGTGATTGCTAGAAAACTTGCATTTGAGACAACCTCAACAATCCTCCCACTCCACTGGAGAAAGCAGAAATCACATTAGAGTAGGGCTGTGTCATTCAGGAGTGAGGATCTTCTACACGAGAGACAAGTGGCTGGGTACCATGGCACACACCTATAGTTTCAGATACTTGGGATGCTGAGGCAGGAGAATTGCTTGAGCCCAGGCGTTTGAGATTAGCCTGAACAACATATTGAGACATTGAGACCAGACCCTCTTCAAAGAGACAAGTGACAGTGACAGGGCATACCATACCTTGCCTCTGTTTTTAAAAAGATTACACAATCAAGAATTGCTAACAGTAAGGGAAAACCAACCCATACAAAAAGAGGCCCCCAACTCAAATAGAAAAGCAGTATCTGAGAAAACAGGATAAGCCAAGCAAACAAAAAATTTAGTTTCAAAAAAATGAGAGGCTATCTTGCCATCATTTAAAAAAGGTTGCTTTTAAAGAGCACCGATTAGAAATTTTGAAAATGAAAAATGATTATTACAATTAATTCAGCAGATTGGCTGTATATTAAAGGAGAAAGCCGAGGAGCGAATTAACAAGTAGAGAATGGGGGAAACCTGACAGAATACCATGGAAAGAGAGGATAGGGAGATGGGAAGTTTGGAGAAATGAAATGATACGAAGTATAAATCTAGAAGTTCCATCATTTGCCTACCTGGAGTTATAAAACGAAAGGCATAGAAAAAAAAATCTAAGGAATCAGAGAAATTCTTGGAGTTGAACAAAAATGACACACATTTTTAGACATTATGGTGAAATTTCACAACAAAAATCCTGAAAGTATTTAAAAAGAAAAACAATCCAGTGCCAGACTGTCACCAACATTTGGTACCAAAAACCAATTAAGTAACAATTTCAAAATTCTAAAGCAAGATTATTTTGTAACTAAAGTCTTATACCTAGCTAAACTAACATTTAAGGTTGAACACAAGAACAGAAATAGAAATGTACAGCTTCCTTACCACTAAAAATAAACTCCAAATAGGGAAATGACCAACACAACAAAAAGCAGAAAGAAAGGAAAAATAAGAAACAAAAAAGCAGAGTAAACATGGCAGTAATCGCTAAACATGTAAATAGTAACAATAAATGTGAGTAGTTTAGATCCCTGCATTAAAAGACTTTCGAATTGTTTAAAACCAAAACTAACTACCTGCTGCCTATAAGGCATGATGTAAAACCAAATGACACTAAGACCAAACAATTTTTTTTTTAAGGAATGTAAAAAGTTGTGGAAGGTGAATACTAAACAATAAAAATTTTAAAAAGGCAATATAGACAAAATACCATTCAAAAGCATCAGATGATGTCCAGATAGTTTTACGATAAAAGGTTCAATCTGCCAAAAAGGCACAACAATCATGAATCTTCAGGTATCTAATAAAGGTTTAAAATAAACTCAATCGGCTGGGCGCAGGGGCTCATGCCTTTGGGAGGCCGAGGCGGGTGGATTACCTCAGGTCAGGAGTTCAAGACCAGCCTGGCCAACACGGTGAAACCCCGTCTCTAGAAAAATAGAAAAATCAGCTGGGATGGTGGCGGGCACCTGTAGTCCCAGCTACTCAGGAGGCTGAGGCAGGAGAATCACTTGAACCCGGGAGGCAGAGGTTGCAGTGAGCCGAGATCACACCACTGCACTCCAGCCTGGGAGACAGAATGTGACTCTATCTAAAAAAAAAGAAACAAAGGAAACAGACTCAAGTATCATTGTCTCATGCACCACTGGCTCCAAGACAAAAGGTCATTAAAGTGAAAGACAAACAGAATCAGTATAATTACATTTTTTTCTTTTTGCTAAGCAAGTACAATTGAATTTTAGTTGATGTGATTCTACTATACAATAACCAACAGTGTAGTCTTTATCCTGACGGACCATACTGGAGACCAGTGTAGGAAACAAACAACTGTCAATCTCGCAAAAGAACTACTACTGACAGAAACACTAAAATCCCATTATGAAAATGTACCGTTATACGCAACATAACAATGTTTTAGTCAATGACAGACTGAATATACAATGGTGGTCCCATAAGATTATAATGGAGCTGAAAAATTCCTATTGTCTAGTGATGTCACAGCCATTGTAATGCACTCCTCATGTGTCTGTGGTGCTGCTGATGTAAACAAACCTACTACACTGCTAGATGTATAAAAGCATAGCATATATTGTGGGGCTGGGTGCAGTGGCTCATGCCTGTAATCCCAACACTCTGGAAGGCCAAGGTGGGTGGATCATTTGAGGTCAGAAACCAGCCTGACCAACACAGTGAAACCCCATCTCTACTAAAAATACAAAACAATTAGCCAGGTGTGGTGGTGAGCACCTGTAATCCCAGCTACTGGGGGGCTGAGTCAGGAGAATCACTTGAACCTGGGAGGCGGAGGTTGTAGTGAGCCAAAATCGTGCCACTGCACTCCAGCCTGGGCAACAGCGGGAGACTGCATCCCAAAAACAAAGAGAGGCCGGGCGCGGTGGCTCACGCTTGTAATTCCAGCACTTTGGGAGGCCAAGGTGGGCGGATCACGAGGTCAGGAGATCGAGACCATCCTGGCTAACACGGTGGAACCCCGTCTCTACTAAAAATACAAAAAAAATTAGCCGGGAGTGGTGGCGGGTGCCTGTAGTCCCAGCTACTCAGGAGGCTGAGGCAGGAGAATGGTGTGAATCTGGGAGGCGGAGCTTGCAGTGAGCTGAGATCATGCCACTGCACTCCATCCTGGGTAACAGAGCGAGACTCCATCTCGGGGGAAAAAAAAAAGTATAGCAAATACAATAATGTGTAGTACATATACTTGAGAATGATAATAAACAACTATGTTACTGGTTTATGTGTTTACTATACATAAACGATACTTTTTGTTATGTTAGTATACTCCGACTTTTTTTTTTAAGTTAACTATAGGATAGCCTCAAGGCAGGTCTTGAAGGCAAGAGCTACTCCAGAAGGTGGCTTCTTATAAGAGATGACAGCTCCATGCATCCATGCGTGTTATTGCCCTTGAAGATCTTCCAGTGGGACAAGATGTAGAGAAGGAGGGCAGGGATACTGATGATTCTGACCTTGTGTAGACCTACACTAACGTATCTGTCTTAGTTTTTAACAAAACATTTAAAAATTTTTTTAAAAGTTTCTTTTTTTAAAAAAGCTTATAGAGTAGGGATATAAAGAAATAAAATATTTTTGTGAAGCTGTACAATGTGCTTGTGTTTTAAGCTAAGTGTTATTTATTTTTTTAAGAGACAAAGTCTCCCTATTTGTCCAGGCTGGTATCCAATTCCTGAGCTTAAGCAATCCTCCCACCTTAGCCTTCCAAGTAGTTGTACGTTAAGCTAAATGTTATTTTAAAAAGTTAAAAAGATCGGGTGCGGTGGCTCATGCCTGTAATCCCAGCACTTTGGGAGGCTGAGGCGGGCGGATCACCTGAGGTTGGGAGTTCAAGACCAGCCTGACCAACATGGAGAAATCTCGTCTCTACTAAAAATACAAAACTAGTTCGGTGTGGTGGCACATGCCTGTAATCCCAGCTACTAGGGAGGCTGAGGCAGGAGAATCACTTGAACCCAGGAGATGGAGGTGGCGGTGAGCCAAGATCACGCCATTGCACTCCAGCCCGG